CAGGAATACCAGAGCAGAGACTGCTCGCAGTGACTGCAAAGACAGGAGAGGCAGCATTTTTACCAAAAACCGATCAGACAGAGGAAGATCTCTGATCTTCAGCACACAGATGCAAGTAAAAACTGAGGACTGTTTTTATCAATGCCATCAGAGCTGTAGGAAAGCTATTGCCACAAGGCACTGAGAGAAAGTTCAGAAGGGGATTTTGGGAAGTGGCATCAGGGTATGGCCCAACTGATTGACGGATACAGAAACATGCTGGTAAAATGTGAGGTCTCACTCCAGCTGCATAAAACAGAGCAAGTCACCATGTTTGCAGTTAAAGGAAAAGCAGAGCTGCTGAGGGAACACACTTGTTGATCTGGATAGAAGGTACTCAGCTAAGGAGGGATCCCTAAATAGAAGAAGCTGCAATATCTGAAGACCTTTTTATCAAACAGGTGAGAACAGAGAAGATGCTACATACTCAGCGACCAGTCTATATGTTAAGATTAAAATAAATGTTGCTGCTAGCCAGAAATGCAACATTGTACTATTCTTCTATTGTTGCATTCTCCCTTGACCTGTTAAGGACACAGCACGCACCTTTTCAAGGAAAAGGCTTTTGAAACACAGCATCTTTCAAAAATCTAGGCCACAGTGACTATTGACCATTTTTTAACACCTTGTTCTTGAGACAGATGGAACACAAAATGCAGAAGAAATAAGCCATCAGCTAGAGAAAAGACCTTGTAGTCTATGGACTTTGGTGAGATAAGGAGACAGACACTACAGGATTTTATTCCCACCTAATGCTTGCCACTCATTTCAAAGAAATCATTATCTGCCTTGTAAAAGATGAATTCATCTCCACTCTTTTATTCCTAGCATCATCTCTTAGATGGCAGATTTTGTATCTTTAACTCTGCAGAAGTAAAACCTAAGGTTGTTTTCCTGTGCACTGTTATTCATGAAACCCCATGTGTTCATTTAAGTCTGATGCATTTTTATCAACAAAAAGTTGCTCAAAACCAAGCAAGTAGCAAATATTGCCATAGGCAAGTTACAAAAAATATAATATATTCTAGAAATTTAGTCTTTTCTGAAATTTTTCCTTAAAGCAAACAGTACCTTACTGCAGTAGCAGCTATAGTAAAGTGAAATTGCTGAATAATTTACAGCTCCCCAGTGTAAAGAAAAACAGTAAGGGACCTTTACAGGTAAACATGTCACTCACAAGAAGCAGTTATTCTAGTCAAAAAATAAAAAGCATCTTAGAGAATACAAACTAGGTAACTTTACCACGAGTAAGACAAACATTTACTAAGGCACTCATTAAGAAAACAAAGAGAACCCACAGAACATCACTGCACTTACCTTCACTGTTCTTAGCAAAATTCAGCTTTATAAGTGATTTGGCATCTAGTTTCTGAAGAAAATGAAACATTAAAAAAAATAATCACAACAGAATCCAAACATTGAAACAAAGGGAAACTGTAACATTAGTGTTAATATATTACAAGTTGTCTGAAACATCAGAACCCTGGGAATTTAAGTCACAGACAAAAACAAGGCTCCCCGAGCCTGAGAACTGGGATATTTTTATGTGCAGTGCTGGAGTCTGACTCAGTACAATGCTAACCAGAGTGAATAAGCTCAACAAGTTGCACGACCACCTTAGCACAAACTGAAAGGGGAGTTTGCATGAAAATCTAAGAAGCAAAGATCACTGCTGCTGATTTGAGGTGATGATTCAGAAGGGACCTCAGATGAGAGCCATGAAGTCAGCAAACCATTTTGGCAATTGTCGAGGCTTGGGCCTAACATGACAGCAAAGAACCAGCCCCGTGGCCGCTCGCTCAGTTCTCCCCTCACACACTCTGGGATGAGGAGGACACAGCCCAACCTCCACCACTCTGCCTCTGCTCTTCATAGAATCATAGAATCATAGAATCTTAGGGGCTGGAAGGGACCTCGAGAGATCATCTAGTCCAACCCCCCTGCCAGAGCAGGGTCACCTAGAGTACATCACACAGGAACTCATCCAGGTGGGTTTTGAATGTCTCCAGTGAGGGAGACTCCACAACCTCCCTGGGCAGTCTGTTCCAGTGCTCTGTCACTCTTACAGTAAAAAAATTTTTTCGGATATTCACCTTGAACCTCCTATGCTCCAATTTACACCCATTACCCCTTGTCCTATCACTGGTCATCACTGAGAAAAGCCTAACTCCATCCCCCTGACACTCACCCCTTACATATTTGTAAACATTGATGAGGTCACCCCTCAGTCTCCTTTTCTCCAAGCTAAAGAGACCCAGCTCCCTCAGCCTTTCCTCATAAGGGAGATGTTCCACTCCCTTCATCATCTTCGTAGCTCTGCGCTGGACTCTTTCGAGCAGTTCCCTGTCCTTTTTGAACTGAGGGGCCCAGAACTGGACACAATACTCCAGATGTGGCCTCACCAATGCAGAATAGAGGGGGAGGAGAACCTCTCTTGACCTACTAACCACACCCTTTCTAATACACCCCAGGATGCCATTGGCCTTCTTGGCCACAAGGGCACATTGCTGGCTCATGGTCATCCTCCTGTCTACCAGGACCCCCAGGTCTCTTTCACCTACACTACTCTCCAGCAGTTCAGCCCCCAACCTGTACTGGGACATGGTGTTCTTCCCCAAATGTAAAACTCTGCACTTCCCCTTGTTGAATTTCATCATGTTTCTCCCCACCCAACTCTCCAACCTATCTAAGTCTCTCTGAATGGCAGCTTCTTTCTAACCACTCGCTCTGCTCAGGTTTTATATCGGTTCTTTCATATGTTAATGGCAGAGGCGCATCTGTTGTCCCTCTGATGGCTCCCTGGCTGGGTTTGGAGCTGGGGCAGCTCCTCAGCTTCTCACCGGAGCCGCCCCGGGGGGCCTTCCCTGATACCGAAAATCCCGCCAAAACAAATCAGCACCGCAGTCAAACTCACCACTTTTTCTGAAACAACTGTCGTTTTTCTTTTGCTTCAGAAAATGTGTAGTGGCACCCACAAGAGATAACTAGCAATAATGAAGAGAAACAGAGGCACGAACTCTCCAGAGAGGCACCTGGGGACATGAGGGGAATCCCAGGAGGGATCCTGGCCCAGCCAATCCCCAGGTAACAATTCCACAGCAGAATGAACCACGATGCAGCCGAGGCCGGGAGGTCCTGCACAAAATGAGGGCAACGTTCTCTAACTCCAGAGAGGACACCACAAATTAACCTAGTTCCTGCTCTCTCATGCTTCATCATAAGAATGTCTATGACATTCTTCTGCTGCCCTCACTCCAGAGGGATCTTCTAACATAGGGAGAGAAGAGCTATTAGGCTGGCGAACACTTCTGAACGATGAGGCTGCTTGCTCCCTCTCCACAGCCTTCCTAAGACACAAAAGCTGCAAGCACACCCAAAATAAGCGAGCCTTCAATAGCATGAGAGGGCAGGGTCACATATGCCAGACATTGCACAGAGTCAGTCTGTGATTCAGACACATCACTGGCATGGCAGGGCGTGCCCCCACTGGGGTCGCCACCAGCACAGCTCGAGATAACCCTGACTGGGATCATAAGAATGTCTATGACATTCTTCTGCTGCCCTCACTCCAGAGGGATCTTCTAACATAGGGAGAGAAGAGCTATTAGGCTGGCGAACACTTCTGAACGATGAGGCTGCTTGCTCCCTCTCCACAGCCTTCCTAAGACACAAAAGCTGCAAGCACACCCAAAATAAGCGAGCCTTCAATAGCATGAGAGGGCAGGGTCACATATGCCAGACATTGCACAGAGTCAGTCTGTGATTCAGACACATCACTGGCATGGCAGGACGTGCCACCACTGGGGTCACGCCACCAGCACAGCTAGGTAACACCTGACTGGGGCACGCAGCTGGAGACGAAGTCCAGCTCAGAAAGCTGCAAGGCTGAGTCAGGATCTCAGATACAAAAAAAACCCACAACCGAACTCTTTGATTGTATCAGCTGTCAGAGATAATTTCACTGCCAAATTGATGGTTAAAAGCACATATAGCACAGGCCTTTCAAAAGAAACAATTGGTTCTCTTCTCAAAACAGGCACCTGAGCAGATTAGGGAGGTTTTTATAACCCAGACAGCTTTTTATAAACAGCTATGGCTGGCAATCTACCAGCTGCAGTGCCAACACTGCTGCTTCAATCATTACAGCAAAGAGCAACAACAAAATTATGAGAAACTAAGTCAGTGGGCTTTTTCTGCCTAATCAAAATTCGTATTTGTGGTTCAGAGAGTACTATGACAGATGGACTCATTCGTTTATAGGAAGACACTTCTCAAATTGTTTTCAGCTGACTGGCAGGTTCATTTCTTTAATTTATTAGCAAGAGAGTAATGAGGGTTGATAGGAATAAGATTGGAAGGAAAGGAGGAGGCCAGGTTAGGTTATATTTAGTTAGGCGATGGAAGGAGAGTGTTACTGTTTTTCTTTAAGTGGATTCTCAAAAAAACCCCCAACAAACCAACAACCAAACCCCAACATCTGCACACTGCTGATGACAGCAAAGGCAATGGCATCTTCTGAAAGGACTAAGTGAATGCAGAGCTTTATTCATTTATTTATCTTCTAACTAGAACAAAATTGTCAAAGAAATAGTAGGGGAACTGCAGAGTTGCCAAAATGAACATATGATCCTGGACAGATCTGTTCAACCTAAACAACTTATTAACACAAAGCAGCATCCATCTGTGCACATGTTGTGCAATAGTCCAAAAATTATGTTCCAGAAAAAGCTTCTTTAGAAATACAACCACTGGAAACATTGCTAATTTGAAGAAAGGCCTTTAAATTATCCTTCTGGCAGAGCTGTGCTGTTCCTTAAACATATGAACAGATCAACTTTAAACAAAAATGGAAACATTTCCCTAAGAAACAGTTGAGCATGATTTAAGATTCAGATTTATACCTTGACAGAAATTTAGTGGAAAAGACAGACTAAACTGACTCTAAAGGTAGAACGTGTGATGTATTGTTAGAAGCGCTGCCAAGCCCTCGGACTTTTACTCCGTACCCAGGGAAAATAGTATGGTATTTCAGGTCATATCTCTCTATAATATGGGAAGACATTAGTTTTCAGCATCAGTTACTCATGGTGCATCAGCTGCTCATGCTGGCATCTGCTCCCCACTGAGACCAGCACTTAAACAGTCTTTTATGTCAACAGTAAATTAAAAGAAAACACATTATTTTCATATAGGAGTTGAAATACGTGCACTGCTGAAGTCTTTTTCCAGGAGGAGAACTCTATATTGAAGTACTGTATCAACATTCCTAACTTTTATTGCTGCAGACTGGCCTCCTGTCAAGCTTGTGTTGAAGAAGTGACCTTGGCATGTCAGCTCAGCCCTTTGGAGCAGCTCTGCACTTCAGCTTAGCTGGCAACAGCTTCGTGCCCGAGCACTCCCATGCTGTATCAGGAGGGAACTTCCCACTACTGATAAAGGATGTTGTTTGTGCAATGTATTTATGAAAAAAAGGGATGGAAACAGACTGAGAGTTGTACATGAGAAAATATGTGGGGGAAAAACAATGAGGGCAACACCACAAAAATATCTGGAGAAGCTGATTAACATGTCTAATGCATGGAAAGACAAGAGGGGGAATTTAGTGTTTTGTTAAAGGAAAACTTTGGAGCATCAGAAGAGCAAAACCAAGCAATGATCTGCTAAGAATTGCCATGGCCTCACAAAGGCAGCTCAGTGCCAAGACCAGACAACAGTAGAGGAGAGAGCCCAGCCCGCATGCCAGGACTTCAGTAGGTCCAGTTTTGAAAGACCTACATGTCACACAAGAAACTATGAAAGAACATGATACAGAACACCTGTCTTTTTTTTTTTTTACCACTCTCAACTTCTTAATTTCATATGCAAGGTTATCTTGCATGTGGGTGAATTTGCTTTTATTTATTCTCCATCAAAACTCAATGTTTTCCAAGCAACATCACATAGTTTGTTGCCATGGAAATGACCATTATGCCACAAACAGGCATCAGCCTTCACAAGAAGAGACAGCAGGAGTGAATGAGTCCTAAAATGAGTTAAAGTGCTTGTTTTCATGTATTTCTTATTACTAATAAAGCATAAGAGAGCTCAAATACTGCATACACAGCTTAATTTCAAAACTATTTCAACCCGAGTTTCCCCAACACACACCTACCATCCAGTTTCAGCCAATCTACAGTGAAGAAAGCAAGGAAAAAATGTTTATTAAAAACATATGATGTCATTAAAATTCTAAATTCTTAATGAAAATGAAAGGCCACAAGCATGCACCACTTCCCCTAAACAGAAATAAGAGCTGCATATTCACTTCTAAAAATATTTTATACAAGAATACTGGAAAGCAGATGCATTTCACGGCACGTAGTGCCAGCT